AAAAAAAACTGGCTTGACAAAATTAGCCGGGGTTGAGATTGACAGCTGGTACATAGGCGCCGAATCCCCGGCAAGCACCCAGAGCAGTTTGCCACACAATGCCAATAAGTGAAATGAAGAAGCTGTCGTGACCCAAGTTGGTATAGCGATAGGATGCCTCGATAAAATATCGTTCTGAGCTGTATTTTTTGTGATAAAAAAGTCGCCGTCACTTGTCATAGACAACGCATTGAACCTGGACTTAAGAGTTTATTATTATTGGTGTATAAAACCCTATGACATCAAAAAAGAATGACTATTAACTTTATAGAAATATCAAGACAAGAGCTCTTACATATGATATTGAGCAAATGCTTGAGGGGAGAACATTTGGAAGTTGCTCCCGATCAAGCACCGTTCAAAAACGTTAATTTGGAGTCAGAAATAGTTTTTTAGGAGTACTGGCGAGAAACTAGGTCATTTACTAAAAATGCTCGAACCTGTCAATTTTTGATTTTAAGGGGGAAGTATTTTTTTGCCAGTTTTGCCTCCTGAGCGAAAATCCTCTGTCAGGGGCGAGACTCACCCCTAAAATCCTAACTGGAAAGAGGGGTCGAATAATAGCGTATTTTAAAGGCATTTTTACATAGATTTTATTCCCCGAGTTTTACATCGCTACTATCTATGTGGCCCATACAGTGGCTCAGCAAAAGTACAAAACCGGTTTAAGATAATTTTTACATTATTATTAAAAAAAAAAGGAATTCTTTGTAACAATTCTAGTTTTATTCCTGTGGCTTTCAATTATTGTTATTAGATGACATTCTTTGGTCGATGTAAAGTAGTAAGATTTAGTTTATTTCGTTGTAGAGACGGCATAAAACTGGCATATCAGTGATAATGATTTTTTTTTGCGAACAATGAATGTGCTAATAGAACTGCCCAACTGTTTAACAATCAATTTTAAAATCGACAAGTCCATTGAAAGTATATTTTGGAGTTAGTCCAAAAATTTTGGGAAACGGGGTCAGTAACTACCAAATGACGTAAAATGGAAAATGCTATACCAAATAGAGCTAGAGAGGTGATGATTTTAGGGCATGATGTTCAAGAACCCAAATTGACCACAACGCAGTTGGCGATAACATCTGGTATAAGAACTTAACGAAGACGATTTTGATAGGTGATTACAATTTTTTGAAATTATGACTGAACAGGCAATAAATGATCAGTAATTTCTTTTCAATGTATGTTTTTCAGACGAATCCACTTTTTTCCTAAATGGTACGGTAAATCGTCACAACTGTCGTTATTGGTCCGATTCAAATCGCAGAATATTTAATAAAATGCATACACAACATCCAGAAAAACTGAATGTTTGGGCTGGCATTTTTAGTAACCGTATAATTGGCCCCTTTTTTACCTGGAACTTTAACCGCAGACATGTATCTGGAATTATTAGAAAACGCCATTCATCCAGCATTAGTAGAGTTGATTGAGAATGACGATCAGTACATAGCAAACAACTTAATATTCCAGCAAGACGGTGCGTCACCCCATTTTGCACTGTCAGTATTTGGATCAAACGTTTTTAGGTCAATGGATCAGAAGAAGAGGAAGTATTGAGTGGCCCCCACGGTCTTCGGATCTAACCTTGTCGGATTTTTAATGAGGCCACTTAAAAACTAAAATTTATGCCACCCAGCCAACATCACTAGAAAATCTGTAACAAAGGATGAATGTCATCAAATCACCCCACAGATGCTTAAAAATGTTCAGGGTCAGCATTTTCAGCATTTACTCAAATAAATGGTAAGCTTTTACAGAAAATAAAAATCGTTAAAAGATCATGGCCAGGAAGACAGTAGCGATTTAAAACTCAGGGGTTAAAATCTATGTAAAAATATCTTAAAAATAAGCTCATTTGACCCCTGAAAAATGTTTTACCCTAAAATCAAAAATTGATGGGTCCGAGCGTTTTTTTGTAAAGGAACCGGGTGCGACAAAATTGGCATGGCCACCCTGTATACATACAATACTCCATTATGTGTATTAAGAAATTATCAAAAATCTCCTTCTAAATTAGTTAATAAATGTTTTATATTGTTTCTACTTATTTCATTGTACTCTATCACTGCAGCCACCACTGAATACCAGTGGTGGCTGTACCGAGAATATAGAGTTGCCAGATATCCTGATTTAGGTGGGAGCCTTCAAGCCTCCAGCCTACCGATTGTTGATACTTCGTTTGCCGCTTCAATCCTCAAACTCCAGCAATTGGATATGTGATAATATTTTTTTTAAAGAATATTTTCATAAAATTAACGCTTCTAAAGTTCTTTTAAAAAACCAATGGTGCCTATAACCGAGGTGTAGAGGGTGGAGGGGGGGGGGGGGATTGCCCCCATTTCTCGCATAGAGGCCGGGCACCCAAAGCAATTTTTGAATTCCGGTGCCTATGAGCTGGTATATAAGTATAAAGCTATTTGATGCTATCTGAAGTGATCAATCTCGCCTCAAATCGGATATGAGATTAATCACTTACATTTTATTTTATTCTCCAAATGTTTTTCAATTATTTTACCTCAAACTCTAGGTTCTGGTAGATATACAAGATCATATTTTAACAGCGCAATCTACATCCTAAAATAGGAGTAAAAGTTCATATAAACATAGGTCCGAAAACGTTTCTTTTTCAAGATATAGGGTGGTGTTAAAAGTGAAGTCCTGATGACACACTTTTGAAAATATTTTCTAAACGTTTAAAGATAACTAAGTAAAATGTAATACAAATGCTTACCTTTTTACGCTTTATTTAAATTAGGGGGGCTTAGGGTAAAATTACCCTATTTTTTTTTGTTGACTCTTTTTAACATTTTTGACTATAAAATTTGGAATACCAATGTTTTCTTTATAATAAAGCTACTTTCGTTGCATCTCGCTAGGACGCACCATTTTCAAAAGAAAAGCATTTGAAAATTTTATGATAAGTTAATGTAATCTTATTCGAAAGTGTAAACAATAATTATTAGGCCTGTGGAATCAGAAATTTGATTTTTTTTTAACTTTGGAAAACCAGTGACTAAATATATTTTAGAAAATATTTACAAAAACGTTTTGGACCTATGTTTATATAAACTTTTACTCCTATTTTTGGATGTAGATTACGCTGTTAAAATATGACCGTCTAATTTTGGGACACCCTGTATATTATTCCCATACATCTACAAAACCTGACTAGTTTAGATTCAAAAGCAAAAGAATTACCCACGCCGAATAGTTTAAATTGATCAATCTCTCCCCACTTCACGGTACTTAAATAGTTTTGTTTACTTTTGTTTAAAACGCCTGACCTTAGCAAATTGTTATCTGACTGCATGATATAAATTTCCTTAGCAGTATATCAGAAAAATGGTTCATTTAACAAAAATGCGAAAAATAATTCTACAGATGAATGATTATGGAGATAACACACGGATATAAATGGAAGTTGTTCGATTATTTCATGAAAACATTACAAATTTGACGCGTATATCCAAAGGGACAATTAGTAAAATAAAGAATCAGTTTCGCGAGCTTGGACATGTAAGGTAGATAAAAATAAAACAACTGCCAATATAATAACTAATGATACCAAATTGGATATTATATTTTAGTTTCAGGAAACCTACATACTTCTAGTCAACAAGCAGCCTCACTGTTCGATATTAGCCATTTATCGAATATTCGAACATTAAAAGAAAAATGGACCCCTATAAAATAATAGCAACTCATTGAAGACGATTTTGATAGAAGAACGCAATATTGTGAACAAATAATGGCAATGTTAAATAATATGGTGATCCAAATTGAACATGTTTTGTTTTCTGATGAGTGTAACTTTACACTTCACAGTCATGCTAATTATCAAAATTGCCGCTAATGGTCTAGGGAAAATTCTCACTGGATGACAAAAGAACAAACGAAATACCCTGAGAAGGTTAATGTTTGGGCAAAAATTGTTGATGATCACATCATATGTCTTTTTTTATTAATGGCAATTTAAATGTCGATAATTATTTAGCACTCCTCTAAAATAATGTCGTGCCAACTTTAATGAACTTACATCTCGATTCAGCAAATCCACAAGTTTCAGCGAATATAATATGGTTTCATCAAGATGGAGCACCGCCCCATTACCAAATCAATGTCCGGGATTACCTCAATCGAGTATTTCCAAATCAGTGGATAGGAAGGCAAATATCGATGGAATGGCCAGCACGATACCCTGATCTGACATCATTAGATTTTTTTTGGGATGTGTCAAAAGTATTGTTTATAAAACAAAAACCGCTCGAACTAGGTGACTTAGGAAGACCAATAACGCTTGCGATTTGATCGGTCACGCCTCAGATGTTGAGTAACGTTAGAAGACATTTTTATTTCAGATAAAGATGTTGCCAAGAGGTTCGCGGCGAGCATTTTGAACATATACTACACTAAGATTAATTTTTTTTATACTTATTAGTTTTTGAGTGTATTGTAACGAATTTCTGTAATTAAATAATTTTATTTTATTAATGTTCCGAAACAGGTATAGGACATAGTACATAAAATATATCTAGAATTTTCTGAAGAATCTAAAAATTGAAAAACATACAGGGTGTTGCGTTTAAAATAAAAAAAAGTTGGTATTGGCCACTGTTACATGATACACCCTATATAAAAAAAATGGCCAACTAAAAATACCAATCGACGTGTCCGAGCGTTTTTCCGAACACGCCCTCATTTATTTATTACCAAATTTTTTCCATTTGGCTGTTCCACACTGTATGGTACACACCTACAAGCTTCTTAGAAAAAGTTTTTGTTCTTCATAGTAAAATATTTGTGATATAAATTTTCAATCTGATTTTTCGAACTAATCTACATAGTCCATAAGGATCAATTTAATTGAGTTCCCATAGCAGCAAAAATGGCAGTTTCAGACGCATTTTGATGCGCATTGACAAATAATTGCTGTAAAAATGAAAGGGACTTACTTGCTATTTTTTCAAAAGTCGTTTGGTTAATGTTTTCCATAGAATCCTTAAGTAGATCTAAAAAAGAACAGGTTGTATTATTTCAACAGCCAGCAACTTTGTCGTAACAACCAATTTATGAATATTAGAGCGGGTATGTAATGTATGTATGACCATTTCATATGAGGTTAAAAGTGTTCTGTTTACTTTTTCATGAAAACTGTTTTTTATACATTTTCTCTGTTGTAACGAAGTCACTAAATTTTAATTTTAATTAATTATAAAAATGTATACTTTAATTTTCACCGAGAAACTTTTCAAAGATTCCCCGTATTTTGGATTTTCTAGTAATTGCCGGTTTTAAACATTTGAGAGCCCTCGTAGTTTAACATATTATCGTATGTACCGTAATTCATGTTCGTATTAAAATATTAAATTTCATGCAAATTGTCTAGATTGATTGTCAAGGTATTCGAAAGTAATTTTTTTGCCATCAGTAGCAAATAGTCCGAAAACTGGTGGTGGCTTTTCCCACTCCGAAATTGTACAGACATGGAGTGCTTCTGCTGGAAAGGCAGCGTAAGCTTTTTAGTGCTGGTATTTCGACATCTTAGACGAGTGAAAAGTTAGTGAACCGTTCATCATTTTCTGCGTCCGTATTCTCCGAGTAATGATCAAGTTAGGTCTTTCCACATAAGTTGACTTTATTTTGATACGGAGTTACCGTTTCCATCTCACCCTCTAACCAATCATTCATTTTTATTTTTTTTAAATTAAATTATCGCGATGTATTGTCAAACTTCCCTTGATCCAGCTATTTGCGGACCTCCCTAATAAGCTCTGTTCCAGGAAGTTTTACGACTCGCCTCCCGATATAGCATACATTCTTTTTGAAAAAATTTTAAATTACCGCGAGCTAGTGTTGTCAAAGCCATAGATATGTAACCAAGAGAGATAGGATTATTTACAAAATTTTTGAAGAATGAACGGTGGTGTCCGCGGTAGAAACTCAATAATCGGATTGAACATTGATGCCAAGTTTACGTGCTTTTAACTATAGATATTAATAACCAATACAGATTACACAATTTCTGAAGTCAACGCGGATGATCCTCGACAGAAATGCAATATTTGGATAAAATTAAAATATTGATGCCAAGTTTGCGATGTTTTTAACTGTAGTAATGTTATTGCGTTTGCTTGAATTACTGTTAGGTCTTTAAATTGTCAAAAAAAAAAAAAATAATGTCTGACAACAGCGGAAGTAGAGTAGACCGCAATTGTGGAGGGTCGTATATTATTTCATTCATAAAAATTCCTTCGATACAGTACTAGTCCAGGAGCCAGTGAATTTTTTCGTACTTGTTTTCCCGGTCCGTGTATATTTAAATAATCTATTGCCGGTGAACTGTATATTTAAAATGGAACGCCAATCTATTAACAAAAGTAAGCCAGATTGAATTCGCGCATTACGTCACATCGATACAAGTGAGATTGTTTACAAAGTGCCTTTGCAGGCCTATTTTGCCCATTTCATGTATTTGTTTTTAAATCATGTTAAATTACTATTTTTGAAACTCAACAAGGAGAAAATCCAATTAACTCTTCCGTTGTGTGTATATATAAGATAAATTAACTGAAGTTTTATTAGTAAAGTATTAATACTAAAATTTTAATGTAATTTACAGAAAATAGCTAGGTATGTATTTGTTTTTAAATAATTTGATAATTTATGAAAAAAGGGAGTAAAAGTGGAATGACCAGTGGCCAGTAGGTCAGTCAATACAAAGTATCATATATTTCTATTATAACATAACTAAAATACCTACATCTTTTAATCATAAGGACATAAGTTAAAAACCATTTTAATGTATGCATTAGAATGAAGTAATAATAACTTAAAGAGACGAAGTCTTAAAGTAATAGCTGGTACAGCATGTTTTTTAAACGTTTCCTCATTGCTGCTAGAATGAAATCACTTACTATAAAATGTGCTCTAAAAATGGCATTTATAGCAGACAGTGTTCAGTCTTAGGATCTCTTCCTAAAGCCCTCATCTAAGCTGCATACATATTAAAAAATAATTAAAAAAAAAAACATATATACCTATAAAGTTTTCGGTTCTGGGTGCCCTAAAAGAGGACACTTAGCCGACAATTTGCCTCAGATAGCTAAAACCCAAAAGTCACACCCCGAACCAGGACGTATTGCTATCCTTTTAAGTAAAAAATAACTACAAATAACTTACCTGAAAAACGAAGGCGTCTAAGTTTACACCAAAAAAACCATACACTTTTTCCCATTGTTGCAAGCACCCGATGACGATTAGGTAGATATCAACTAGAAGCATGTACTTAATGGTTATAAAGCTTATTTTAACACAAAAAGAATAAAGCACTAGTCGAAAAGCAGCAATCAAATATAAATAGACCATAATATTAAAATTCAAATTAAAAACTATATAAAAGACAAATACTCTAAAAGCGCAAAAGATCAGAACCAAATAAAATGAATAACCATAATAACCTAAAAATCACACTAAAATTGCAAAAAACTTTTACTGTAAAATCATGAGATTACATCAATAATGCATATGCGTCGGAGTATCGCAAATGTCAAAAGTACAGTGTTTCCATGAAAATTTAGCTATATTTTTAGCAGTATTATAGGACCATTTCTACCACGCGCATCCAACGAAATTGGCGTTCCACAGTTCACTGTATTTTCCTCACATCTCTAGTATAAATGATTTGACATAACGAAACTAACAATAATTATAATTAATGTAGAGTAATAAGTGATTCGTGAATTCTAAATAAAACAATTATTATATAAAAGTGTAAAAGGAAATGTAATTTATTTCCCTATTTTCTTCTGTAATATCTTCAATTATTATGTTTAATTTCTATAAATAAACCAACTGGTTAGGTGAAACATTGTGATATAAGATTTTATTTATGTGTCCTATGCGTACACTTTAATATACAAAACACCTGGAACATTCTTTAAATAATTGTGGTCGTAGAAATAATTGTATACATAACTCGTTTGAAAGTGTATTTTATGCACTTGCCAAATATATTATCCATACAGATTAATCAGACTCTTTTTTTACTTAACTTCCGTACATCTCTTACTACTAAAACTATTTTTATCAATGGAAAAAAAGGGCCGTGTTCTCGTATGTTTTGACGCATTTTCGGCCTCAGCCCATCGGATCCCCCTCTAAATATATATGAATTTTGCTTAGAATTGCTAATCCTACAATTCTCTATTCGTGCTTGCTGACTGGGAAAATTAATACCGAAAATCGTCACTGTCTCCTGGACTATACAATAGATGATGATGAGAACTTCACAACAAATACACTTTTATGAATGGCTAGTTGGGGATGTGGTCAAAGCTCCCTTAGTCGAGCTATTTGCGGATCTCCCTAATAAGCTCTGTTCCAGGAAGCTTTACAACCGACCGTCCCGTATAGCATTCATAACTTTATGCGAAATGGGGATCGATGTCTCAAACTTCACTATACGCGGTGTACTGGTTATTTTTCCAGTTGATTTGTAAAAGCCATCGCCGATTATTACCCACTGTAACGTAGTAATTATATTACTCGTAAAATGACCCCGCACTTTTCTTATGCAAAGTGGCGAGCCGTCAAATTTTCTGAAACTCTGATATGTTGTTGTAGTCAACATGGTAACCAAAAGTGTCAATGGTCCCAACTCAATTATATGACTAGTTTTCGATATATATTGAGAAAATGGTTACATTTGACGGGGGAAATTTTAGAATACGTGGTTTTTGTACTTTTCTTAATATAGAATACCTTCTAATTCATAAATCTCCTTGTATATTTTGAAGCTTAAAGGTAGATATATTTAAATGGTATTACATTTTCCAAAATTCAACTCATAAGTACAAGGTTTTGAATTAATCGTTAAAAAAATAATTTTATGTTGTGGTTCTCTCTATAAAACACCCTGTATAAGAAATGTGTACTGTGCAATATTTTGTCGTCAAAATACCATACTGAGTAGTACTTTTTGAAAATATGCTTCTCTGACCGCACAGTAGAATGAGTGTGATTTTACAAAAAATTACCGTCATACATTTGTGAATCGCCCTCTAATTATACATATTTTTAATTGTAGGTATGTACTAATGTGTTACTTAAACTCATAGTAAACGTGTATATGCATCAGAAATTTAATCTAGCTCGTAAGTTTGCAAATAAAAATTCCCAAAAACTGGGCAATTTTCAACTTTATATCGAAAACTAGTCATAGGATTGAGTTGGGCCCATTGACACTTTTGGTTATAGTCTAGTCATTATAGTAAGTTCACCTCGGAATTCGAGATACCCAACTATAAGTCTGTAAATACTTTTATATTGACACCCTAAAAGTTGTCTCAAAACCTACATATGGTAGGGTGTACGCAACTATTAAATTTCAAGGTCAAAGGTCACAAAAATCGTTTTTTTGCGCTTTTTTTTTTTGTAAATATCTAATTTCCTATGGGTTTTTTGCTATTTGTATTTATTATCAATATTGTAGAATACAAAATTCTCTAAAATTTTGTTTAAAAAAATTTTTCATACGGTGAACCGTTTTCGAGATAGAGGGCGGAGAGCGCGCGGTCACAGCATCACTTCAGGTCAACCAGTGCCTCAAATCGAAAACGCGCCATATATAGTTGATGGACTATCGATAAATCAATGATTATAAATATTTGTCAATTTTTATTAACTATTATATTATATTTTATCATTTTTTTTCCTAACCAATCCACTTTTTATTCAGTATTAATTTATTTAACAACACTTACCTGCCCATGTAATTGCAGAATTGTTAATGAAAATATAGGAATTATATTTGAATTTTAACCTAATTAATATTAATACCTTCTTACATGATGAAAAAAAAAAAAAACAAATAAATTATGAATTAATCTTTTTATTAAAAAATATCATTCAATGCATTTATTTTTATTAAAAGTAAAAAAATGGAATAAAGGGTACAAAAACTAATTTTAATCATCTTTTTTCTCTTCATCGTCGTCTTCCGGCTACTGGT